TCTGCCTCCTGCCTGCTTCACAGCCACCTGGATACACGGCCACACCTGTGCTCGGGCCGGTCAATAAGACCTACATGTTTAGCACCCTGGGAGAGGGGTCTAGAACTCTGTGGTTCACTGTATGTCCTCTGTTGATTTCAACACAGGTGAATATTTGTCAGCCACCAACTGAGGCCTTCCAGAGGCAATGAGCACCTGTGGCACGTAAGGGCCACCTGCCATGTACAAAACACGTTCTATTTGGGGTTGAGGCCAAGGGCATGATGGCTTCCCTCCCCTGCTAAGGTTTTCCTGCTGCTAGAGCTATCTGCCAGCGAAAATGGTGATTGGAGGGTGAGTGCTGGCTGTTCCAGCGGGTACCTGTCCTACTATGTAATATAGGCCATCCCTATCATGACCCCTTCCTGAAGTTTGAGGAGGCCACTCAGGACTTTAGATGGACAAGGGGAGCCTGGGTAGATGAGGGATTGAGGCCAGGGACAGAGGGCAGACATAGGGCCCATCAAATACAAATGTGGTTCCCACGGACGCCAACTAGGAAGCCAGACCATGGAACTACAGGGATGAGCCCGAGCCAGACTGGCAGATCTGCCTTGCTGGCCTCTGATCTTCAGGAAGCTTAAGGTCTTCCCCAGGGAAAATATGACATATCCTCAGCCTGATTAAAAATAAAAAAAAAACATAGACTTCAAATTCCTACCCACAGTCAAGTGACCTAGACACCCTAAGGCAGGGTCCTGGCATCCCCATGACTCAGAAATCAATCTGAGCCCACGAAGCTCCAATAGCTTCATTGCCCCATGTCCTTTAGAGACTGCTAGCTTCCTTCTGTTTCCAGAAAAGGCTGAGTGCAGAGAACTCTTTCCACATCTGGGAACTTCCTAATTCTGGCAGTGAGAAAGTCTCCCACAGCTAACAATCTATAGCTCTTGCTATGGTATGGGTATGAAATGCCCCCACAGGCTCATGGGTTTGAAACCTTGGTCCCCAGCTGGTATCACTGTAGGTCCTTTAGGAGGTGAGGCTAGGTGGAAGTGTGTGGGGGGGGCTAGGAGATGAGCCCTCCCTCCTTCCTTCCCTGACCCCATGCATGTGAATGTGTGTGTGTGTGTGTGTGTGTGAGAGAGAGAGAGAGAGAGAGAGAGAGAGGTGTGTGTGTGTGTGTGTGTGTGTGTTTCCTGGTCTACTGAGATGAGAATAAGTCATTGCACACTTACTCAAAGCCACCCTCAGCCATTCCTCCCCAATGATTGACCATACATCCTCCAACCAGAAGTTCAAATCAGTCTTTCTTCCCTTAAGTCACCTGCTTCTTGCCAGTGAACCCCTTATGCTAGTGAACCTTTTATGCTAGAATGTACAGTTCCCCCAATTTCTGGGAATGTGAAATACGGCAGCTGAGGTACCATGGCACATCCTCAGAGAAAAGCGAGGCCCAGAGGAAGCCGCTCTTACTGAACACCAGGCAGAGGCCCAGAGGAAGCCACTCTTACTGAACACCAGGCAGAGGCCCAGACTCTTGCATCAGCCCTCATGGGGCTGATGTTACTTCCCAATGGATACGCAAACACGGTAGGAGATCGATGCTTCCAGACACGTCTATTTCAGCCATATCCATGGCAACAAGGGGAGGCAGGCCCCGGTTTCTGACAACACCCTGGCACACACTGGGGTTGGCCTCTGTTGTCAGTGCTTTCCTGAGCATCCCCTCTTCCAGGGGCATCCTCTCCCTCCCACAACCTGCGAATGGGTGTGAGGCAGAAAGGACACTTTCTGTTCACTGTAGCAAAGCTGCAAGCCAAGGTTTCCAGTCCAGCCTGTGGAGCTAAGAATGGGGAGTGTGTGCCTCAACCAACCAGAGGAAGACCAGACTGCCCCGGGAGTCAGCCCCATTTTCTCTGGCGCCACTGGAGGAAGAAGCAAGCTGTGAAGCCTACAAAGAGAAGCAGAAACCATCTATGCCTGTGGCCATACTGCCCCAAGCTTCAGTCAAGTTTTCCTGGTCAGTGTTGGGCAGGTTTTTTTCCAAATCTGCCTGGTCAGAGTGACCATGCACTCCTCAGGGATGGTGACTAACTCAGAGCCTGGCATAGAGGAAGCGCTAATTAAATGCTACCCACTGGTAACACGTGTCAATCAGATCAGGGATGGGAGCGGGGAGGGGACAGAGCAGCAATGACTTGTTTTTGTCACTTCCAGCCTCTGTGACAGGCTATCATTTCAGATGGAATTGAAATGTCACACCTGCCCTGAACCGGAGCCTGGCAGAGTTGGAAACACATTCTGGCAGCTCAGCGGGACACAGGGTTCCCAGGAGGCTCTGGCTCCTCCATTCTGAAACCCTTCCCTTCTCTGAACCTGCTCCAAAGCTTGGACACATCCTGCCCTAACAGGTTCCAAGCTTGAAGCCTTACCTTGTGTCATTTGCAGAGAGACCATTTAGGAGTTCAACACCCCATTTCCAGTTTCTTGTCTCATTTCTGAGCTGCCAAGGTTATGGATCACATGGTGCCTTACAGACCATCTGGCCCACTGATGAGGCATGACCGAGTTTTTAATAGGATAAATGAGACTTTTATAAGTCTCTAATAGAAAATCTCATTGTCCCACAAAACATAAGTGTGAGCCGTCTTAGGAAACTTGGCTTTCAGCGAACAAACAAATAAGCAAGTAATGCAAAGACAATGCATTCCTTCTTTCTGGTAGGTCACAATGACAAAAGGTCTGAAAAACTCTCAACGCAATCACACATGGTGGCAACAGAAAAGCCCATGAACAGAGAGGTAAAGCAAGTCGCTCCTAGTCACACAGCTTGTAAGTGGCCAGACCCAGGCAAGAACTCCAGTTCTTCCTCTGTCCTGTGTGGGTCTTCTACCCACTGCTACCTGACACTCTCTGGTCCTGCAGCCAGAGAGTCACCCTGGGTGAGACTGGCAGACAGCAGAGCCCCTCCTTCCACCCTCCATCTCCAGGAGCCAGCCACTATCAGCCTTGGCCAGCAGGACAGGGGATGGCCAGAAGGGAATGAGATGGATTTGAACATGTGGCCATGAGTGCCCTCAACTTTCATCTCAAGAATGTAAAAAGCAATCACCTAATTAGGGCCTGAGCACTTCCTGCAGCTGCTCTCAGGTGGATTCCAGGCTAAGAGACCCTGCAGCATGGCAAGATTGCCTTTCCCTGCAGGAGTGGGGACCAGCAGGGGCCTGTCTTTGTTGTGGCTCCATTCAACCAAGTCATCAGTGCCAGAGTCAGGAAGAAAACTAATCCTTATCCCTCGCTTTCCAGATGTGAAAACAGAGGTCTAAAGAGGCCCAGTGACTTGAGCAAGGTAACAGCCAGCTCGTTGCCAAGCCCTGCAGGATCACCCCAGATGTCCTGGCTGTCAGCCCTGCTTCTCAGGTATACACACAATGCTCATGGTCACCATGTCAGGACGCAGCCTGGAGATGCCACATCGGGAATAGACTTCACCTACGATATGGCCAATCTCAAACTCTCCCTTTCAGCCAGACAAATTCCCAAACTGACCAGGATACAGCAGGCAACAGTTATTGTTCCCTTGACATTCACAGTGTTCAAACACAAGTGTGACCCATCCCATTGGCACTTCCAGCTCTGTGAGATGGATACTGCTGCTGTGTCTGTCTTACAGGTAAGGAAGATAAGACTCAAGAGAGGTTAAGCAACTTCACGTATGTTGCATAGCTGGTTAAGAGGCGGCAGAGCCAAGATTCAAGCCAGCTTCTGCCTGATTCCACGTTTCCTCCCCATCCCTTTCTCCTTTCACGAATTGTGGGCTGCCCTGAAATGCTACTGACAATCTTCTAGACATCTACCTGGGTATCAATCTGCATGACTTCACCTATGTCTTACCGAAGCAGAGTTCTAATGTCTTTCCCCCCAGAACTAGCTCTTCCCTTGGCAGGTTATTTTGCAAGTTAGCCTGGGAAAGCACAAGAAAGCAAAGGTGAAGCGTAGTGCGTAGATTGCAATCCCCCACCCCCAGCAACACACACTCAGTGAGGAGCCTGTGGGCTTCCTCTGGGGTATTTCAGCCCAGCTCTTCCTCTGTAACTCTGGGGAAGAAGCATGTCACTGGGCAGGTGCTCTGCAGAACTGCCCAGCAAGAGGGAGGGCTCACTGAGGAGTCACAGAGAATGTGGTCAGTCAAACTAGAGTGCCCAGGGACATGAAGTGTTCTATTAGGTGCACTCCAGCTCTTCCTGCCTGGAGTCTCAGCCTCCCCTTAGGGTGACCGACCACCCTTCATTACACCACAGTCAATTCCATGTTTCTGAATGCCAGCTCGCTGTGTGAGTGCATGTTATATGACCAGGAGCCAGGACAGCCTCCTGAGCCCGGGTTAGTTCCCTGAGGGGATCCACCTCCACAGGCTGCCTCTGATTTGAGGCATCTATCTGCCTCTGTGGACCCTTGGTTGGCAGCAGTTCCTTGGGGGGTCTTGGTCCTGTCTTCTGACAGACTGAGGTGGCAATGAGACTGCTGAGAAAGCGGGCTAGAATGGGAGGGACACTCTTCACCACCCCCTCACGGATGGATATTCTGTGTCTACAAAGCAAGGGATGCTGGGAGCTGGGGGAGGTCCGGAATGCTAGGGCCTTACTGCCTACAGGTGGGGTGTTCTTCCTTCCTGTCCAGGGCTCTGGGCTATCTACCTCTGAATCCTGCCTCCACCACTTACAAGCTGTGCATTCTTGGGCATGTTACTTTCTGAGTCTTATTTTCTCATGTGTGAATGTGGGTAATAGTGGGTAGTCCCTGTCAAACGAGATAGAGTACACAAAGCATTTAGAATAGCTTGCAGCAAACAGACGGTGCTTAATAAGGGTGATCTGGGACCGAGAAGCAGATACACCATGCTAGCCGTAGCACTCTGACCCTCTTTGGGAGATAGTGACAAAGAAGCATCCTTTAATGAGCCCACGAAAAAGACAGGAGGAAGTGCGCGCCCGGTACGGGCAGAGATGGGCACCTACTTTCTGAGGGCACACTCCAGTTCGTTCTTCTGCTCGTGGGCTTCTTGGAGCTGAGCAAAGATTGTGGTGAGGAGGTCTTCCAAGTTGGACAGCAAGTGAGGGTCATCCTTCTTCAGCTGCAGCCACAGCTGCCTGACGTCACTTTCACTGGGAGGGACAAGAGACATTAACGAGGAGTGGGTAAGCGAGGTCCTGTGGGAAACACGAGGGGTCCGGACAGGGAGGGAACCGCTGGAAACATCATCCCAGCCGCCTTAAAAATAGCAATAGCGAGATTCTGTGGCACAAAGTCTTTGCTGCACACTGCCTCCCTTCATCCTCACTGCCACCTGGGATGCAGCTGTGGGACGCCAGGACCATTCCCTGGTGCGATGACGGTGCGGGCTCATGTCCAGCAGCCTGACTCCTCCTCTGCTGATGTCTCCCTGACCGGCTTCTTTACTCTGTGACGCTCATGATCCACTGGCCACATTGAGCATGCGCGGCAATGTCTTGCCAGCATCTGAGCAGTGAGAGGGATCTGGAGGCAGTTGGATGGGGCTAACACTGAGAGCTGGAGAGAGCCTGTCACACCCCCGGGCAGGGTGTCCTCACTGATGAGAGGTGGGCATGCTGTCTTATGGATGGCAGAATGTAATTGCCACTGCTGAGGAAGGAGGCAAATACGCAGCGCCTCACTGGGGCCTGGTGGCACTGGGAGGGACTGGCAGGGGAAAGGGAGGGAAAGAGTGAGTCTGAAGGATGTGGAGACACAGACAGACAGACAGACAGACAGACAGGTGGGAAGTCAGACTCTGAGGTATGCAGGGAAGAGGTGGAGTGACGGGTCACAAGAATCACCCAGAAACAGGTATGTTGGGGGTGAATATTCACCTAAAGGAGCAGCAGAGGGATAGGCCATGATAACCCGGTCACCAAGAGGAGAACGTGGAGAGAGCCGCAGGTGTGAGCCCCACTCTCCCTTCTTGCACTCAAATATTTACAGCTGTGATTGAAGCACACGAAGCACAGATCTGACTCATCCCCCATTAATTCCTAAAGTCAATATGATGAGAGGGCAGGGCCAGGCACTCCCAGGATAAAGGAGAACATCCTTCAGACCATTGTAAACACCATATTTCAGAAGCTTTGCTCAGAAGTGATGTTGGCTCGGGTCATGTCAGTAGCGTTCTCATGGCACAGATATGTCTGACTCTGTATCCAACAGAAACAACGACTGCTGGCTGAATCCACTTCCAGTTAAGCAATTATCATCACCCACCCCACCTCGTCCTTCTCTTCTTCCTCCCCTTTGTCCTTCATTTCCATCCTTTCTTGCATCTAGTCCATTCAAACATCTACCTGTTCATTGAGACCATCCAACACCCGCCCACCCATCTATCCATCAGTCCTCCATCCATGCTTTCACTTCCATGACGGGCTGAAATCCTCTGAAGTTACCAGGCAAAATGAATCTTCCTTCTCTTATATTTCCATCAGGCCGCAGCAACATGAAAGAAATGAACACAGGCCAGATCTTTCAACTTGCGATGAAAAGTTATAGCTCGTTAATTGGCAAAATCATTCCACCAGACCTCAAAGAAAAGCGGTGTGTCTGGATGCCCACTTGTGGTACCACCAAGTAGCATGGGTTAGGGAGGTCCAAGAAAGTCCACCTCTATGCTTCTAGAATAACCCACAAGTGCTCTGTTGAACAATAGACAGTTCTGAAGCCGTTCCAACCTGCTGTGCTTCTTGTCTGGGGTTATGCTATCATGAACAGATTCCCCCAGGTTACAGAGTGAACTCATGTCAGTGAGGATGGGGAATGGCACTGTCTTCTCTTCTGGCCTCTTTAGGCCATTCTAGAACCATCTTTCAGACATTGTGTTTTATCTCAGTTCTACACCGGTATTTGACATGGTCCTCATTGTTGTGAAATATTAAAGATATGTTACATTTGTTTTGCTGTGTAATATTTAATGATACAGAGATGTGTTACATTCCTTTATGCTGCATTTGTTTAGCTCAGTAAAGCTGTGTTACTTTGCCTGTCCAAAACACCTGCTTGGTCTAATAAAGATCTAAATGGCCAGTAGCAAGGCAGGAGAAAGGATAGGTAGGGCTGGCAAGGAGAGAAGATAAATAGGAGGAGAAATCTAGGAAGAGAAGATCAAGGAATGAGAAAAGGAGGAGAGGAAAAGGCAGGGGGCTAGGCACCCAGCAGCACAGCCAGCCACAAAGTAAGAAGGAAAGAAAAGATACACAGAAATAGAGAACGGTAAAAGCCCAGAGGCAAAAGATAGAATAATTTAAGAAAAACTGGCTAGAAATAAGCCAAGTCTGGGCATTCATAAGAAAGAATAGCATTCTGTGTGATTTATTTGAGAGCAGAGTAGTGGGCCCCCAAAGACCAAAAGAGTACAAAACAACATCTCAGTGTGATATCTAGTGAGCACTGACTTTGAGAGCCCTTCAGGAAGGTGACTGATAGTCCCTACTATTTGTGACAGTGGCCTGCTCTTGGCACTGCCCTCTTCCTCCTCTTCTTACAGCAGGAGGCTTTTATGGAGTTCCTGGCAGTGGTAACTGGGCTCTGGCCTCCTGTCCTAGGAGAAGCTGAGTCACGACTAGTGAGCTCCCCCAGTGCCTGCCTTTGTCCCGAGCCTCATCCTGGGTTATTCACAGCCCATCTTCCTGCCCTGATGCTGGTAGCAAGTTTTACTTCCTACCCATCCTCCTCCACCAGCCAGACTCTCTCCTGGGCCTCAGCCTGGCTCCTTCCTGCTTGCACACACTTTTGCCAGCCTTTCTCACCTCTGACACTAAACTGATGTATTATGAACAGGACACTTCTCTGCTGCCCTTGCCGGGTCACGTTTCACCCTGGGCCCTTCCCTTCCTGAACGCATGACTCTCCCTCCAATTATGAAGCCATTCCCACCCTGCATGAACGCACACCCACGCCATCTCTGACACGGGGCATCCTTTGCAGGGTGAGCAGACCCAAGGTCTGCGACGATGACAAAAAAACAGCGGGAAGCAAGGACAGTGGACTGCATGGGACAGAGGTAAGAATGGGCAGGGCTCAGAATAGACTTACTCTTCCAAAACCTTCTGGGCTCCAAGTCTGTCCATCAGCATCTGGAACTGTGCTTCCTCGTCACGCTCAGTGCCTTCCACATGGTCACCCCCCCTAGACTGATACACCTTCTCCTCTTGGAGCTGGGCCACCTGTTTTCCAGCTTCCTCCTCACTTTGGCTGTTTTGACTGAAGAAGAAGTGACCTAGGAGAGTAGAGAGCAAGGACTTGAATCAGACATCCTCAGCCCAGAAGGACTTGGCTTCCTCTTTTCCTGGAAATCATGCAAAGTTTGCCCTAGAGAGGCGAAAAAGGTCCCTCTATAGCAAAGATCCATGGTCACTGCATCTGGAGATTGTGTTCTTTGATCTTCCATTTGCATTCTGACAGAGATGCCAGAGCCTGGAGATGGTGCCTGGGAAGTAGGCTGGCTCCTCTGTGGATCTCTAAAATTAGATGTGGAGCATTGTGTCCTTGGAGGATGCAGCTCAGTGGTAGAGCATTTGTCTAGTATAGCCAAGGCTCTAGGTTCAAGCCCAAGTAGTACCACCAGAGAAAGATAATAAGAAGAAAAGCCTATTTTTTCCTCTTCCTGCATTAGGAGGTACGGTTGTTCCCTCCATGACTCTCCAGAAGCCTGCCTCGCCGTGCCCACCATCAGCACCACCAAACACATATAGGCAACTTTCTTGCTGTTCATGCTGGCTGGTATGACAGCAATGTGTCCAGCCCTCTCAAGTCAATGAAAAGCTCCAGGAGGTCAGGAAAGGCATCCAATGTGTTTGAAGGAATAACATGGCCCTTTATAGGAGGCAGGGAGATGGAGAGACTGGCTTACTGCTTCATCTCATCTGGAGGTAGGATCTGGATTCTTTATCTTACTCTCAGATCTTAGTTCTCTTTCCTCGTAGGACCTTGAGAATAACTGTGCTATTCAAACCTAGGAATTTCTGATAGCTTCCACCTCTTTGCTGGACTTAGGCTGGGCTATCCTGTGACCACACACCTTTGCTTGCTTATTTTGTCTATCAAGGTTGGAAAGATAGGGCTGAAAATTCTAACACAGCTTCCTGATGATGCCAAACGTATCTGAGCTCCCACATGTGGGCCCTGGCAGTGACAGTCCGTAGGCACAGAGGATGCCATGGTATGAACAGTCAAGGTGGGCTTATGGAAAGAGTCCAATAATCTACTCTCCCTCTGGCTCTGCACCTCCAAAGGAAGAGTGAAAAAACTCTGGGGACAGAGTCCAAAAGAGTTGGAGGGAACAGGAATGTATGTTATACAGCTGCAGGGAGCCTTTGGGGCCTGTGTCCCCAGTACCCATCCGAACTTACTGAATCCAGTGGTGAACTCCTCTGGGGTCAGAAAGCCATTGCCATCAGTATCCAGGGCATCAAACACATGCTCCAGTTCCTCCAGACTTAGGGGTAGCTCCTTATGTAATCTCTGAAAACAATCCAGATCACACTGGTCAGCGTGCTGATGGCCACGGGGACCTAGAACTTGGCTTAGGTCTGCAAAAACTGCAAACACTGTCCTACCTTTCATATTTGTGCAGGGACCCTTTGATGGGTGCCAACTAATGCATTAGGCAATTTTCTACATGATTTATAAAGAAACATATGTATGTGTGTATCTGTTTGCATTGAATTCTCATGCTACCCCTTTGGGGTAGATACTATTATTCCCATTTTAAAGATGATGTTTAAGGCTAAATTGCCAGGAGTCAACTCTAGGTCTGACATCAAAGCTGGTACTCTTAGCACTGACAAGGACCAATGCTATACAAGACTGAGTAGCTCTAGGTAGATTCCTAGAGGATGTGGTGGTCTGAAGCTAAGCGAGACCACAGATGGAAAGACTAGGGCACCATACCTGGCATCTGGAGACCACTCAATCAAAGCAGGAGGAGTGTTAGGGCCTGTAATCCTAGCTACTTGGGAGGTTGAGGCAGGAGGATGCCAAGTTCAAGGCCAGCCTGGGTAACTTTGTCAGACTGTGTTTCAAAATCAAAAATTAAAACAGGCTGTAGAGAACTTATATAGCCTGCACAAGGCCCCAGGTGTGACCCTTAATACAAAAGTAAATAAATAATACTGGGAAAGGACAGAGAGAGGGAAGAGGCAGGTTCACGGAGCCACCATGACAAGCCAGGTTTGGTGGCATTGCATTGTGGTCTTTTCCTCTAGGTACCCCCTTTCCTGAGCCATGCTACTCCCTTATTATGAGGGTCTTCCTTAGTGGAGGCCCTCTGTCCCAGGGCCCCAGGACTACTCTTGTAAGCAGCTGTAGACATATTTGGTTCTTTAACCCTGAGGATGCTGGATAAATCCACCCCCTCCTAACTGCAAGTGACCCATGCGCACAGGGTCGCACAACTGTCCCCTTTGGCTCCGATTAGAATGTGCCATGTCCCCCACAAGTTCATGGGATTCAACACTTAATCCCTTAACTGATGGTGCTGTTTCAGGAGGGTGTGAGACCTACCTAGCTGGTGGAGGTAGGTCACTGGGGAGGGCCTTGGAGATTTAGAGCCTCCACCCACTGACAGCATGAGGAACAAGGTAGCTGAGCTGTTGACACTTCCCGCTAGCATCTGTCTGTCTGGTGTGAAATGGCCCCAGGCCAAAGCAAGAGTCCTCCTGTACCTAACAACCCATCTCCAAGTGAGAAGTCCCAAGAGACTTGTTACCTCTCAGCTGGCCTGCCTGCTCCTCAGGAACCCAAGGGCCAGCTGTACAAGCCACTCCTGTGCCAGTGACTGACAGCCTTAGCCAGCACGCTTTGCAGGAAGGGACTCAGACATGTGGACAGTCAGAGTCGGCAGGTGTGATAGCCCATGACACATTTGGAGGGATTGCTTGGCTCATGGTATTTTCGCTGATAAGCCATAAAACATCATTTGGCTGCTCTGTGCATTAACGGTGGCATTTAGGACATGTCACCAAGTGGGAAGAGAGGCTAAGGGGAAAGCCATTTGGAAGAACTTAATTAGATATGAGTGAGTTTTTCAAGAAAGGGAGAGGGAAAGCACATGCAAAGATTCTCGCAGACATCAACAGTCCATAAACCAGTTGTGGCAAGAACCACAGGTAGAGATTTCAGGGTGGGAGAGTGTTGGTTTTGCAAGTGGGAAATGTATTTGCTCCACTGGAAATGAAAGAAATACCCCCAGGGGTAGTATAAAACTTCCCTGGCTCCCGTCACAGCCAGATCCCAAAGCTTTCTTTGGGATTAGATTTCTTCCCTACCTAGTGAGCTTCAGGTTGCTGGATCTGGCAGAAAATTGATAGTTTCCATTGTATTTTGGCTGGAAAGGATCGGGAAGGAAACCCCAAGGTCAGCAGGACCCTCAAGCAGCCTTTCACCCTTTACACCTGCCTGTGTGCACATGAACACACGGACGCCATACGGAGTTTGCAGATAGTGTGAACCAGAGAGGGGTCTTCAGACTTAGGCTCAGCCACCTTCACCAAGCGTGTGGTCACACTGTTTCACCCATGCTCAAGTGACACTCACATTGGAGAAGAAGCTGGAAGAGAGCCATCTTTAGGGCCAGAAGTGCACACACACCCTTCCTTTGGGCATCCACAGGAGTCTGATTAGACCTGATTCTTGCTGGTGGTATGGCTCAGCTATTCTGAGCCTCAGTAGGAGAGCTGAGGCTGTATCTGTCTCCGTCCCATGACAGACTGTGATGTCCTTGGCTTTAGTAAATTGGTTGGTATAGACTGGGCCTTCTCAACCTCTGGGAACGGACCATTCTCAGGAACAGTTGAGAGGACTCGGGGATGGGGGAACAAGGTAGGAGTGTCCTATGCATGATACTCCTAATGCTAAACCTGTCATTGCCTAGTTTTGTATGGTCAGTGAAGTAAGAATGGCTTTTGCATTTTTAAGTGGCTAGAAAAACAAATCAAAGGAAGAGTCATAGTGACACATAGGAAATTGCATACAATTTAAAGGTCATTTCATAAATGACTTTTTTTTTTAGTACTGGGACTTGAACCCACAACCTTTGAGATGCCAGGTAAGTGCTCTAACATTGAACTACATCTTCATCTCCTTCTAATTTTATTTTTTGAGACAAGATCTCACTGAGTTACCCATTGGGTTTGAGCCAAGAGTCCTGCCTCACCCTCCTATGTTGCTGGATTTACAGGCATGGGCCACAACACCCTGTTCATGTGGATTTATGTGGTGCTGGAGATTAAACTTTGGGCTTCATCACTGCTAGCTAGATGAGCACTCTATCAGGTGAGCCCCATCCTCAAACCCATGTGGTACAGTAAGTCCATCATGTGACTACCACCCGGGCCTATAGTCTTGGGGTAGAGCCAGGGAAGGCAAACAGCTCAACAGCAGGCAAGAGGTATTGAGACCAGGTTCTGTACACAGTATGTACTGGCAGCGGTAGCCCATGCGAAGTTCAAAGCGGAGACCCCTCTCACCTGCATGTCTGTCCTGGCAATGAAGCCTTTGCCCTCAGAGTCACATGTCTGGAAGAATTCCTGTGCTTTCCTCCACATGACACTCTGGTCTGGCACCTGCTCCTCCATCTCCAATCTCTCTGGGTGATCCAGCCACTCCATGCAGGCTCCACTTTCCTGCCATCCATGGCCTGGTATCTCGGAGCTGGAATCTTCCCTTCCCTTGGGGGTGGCCATCAGACCTGTAGATTTCTTTGTGGGTTTTCAGAACCTGAACAGGGGAGATGGGAAAAAGAAGTGTGTGATTAGGTTGGAGCAAGACCAAAAAAGAGCAGGAAGGTAGAAAAACGGAGTTCAGAGCTGGTCACTGGCATGTCCTGACTTCTCTTAGCAGCCAGCTCTTAATTATCAGGGCTCAGGACCAGTGCGCTTTACAGGGATAGCTGATGGATCAGCCTGTCTGTCAAATGAGAGAGAATCAAGAGAGAAGGGAAGAAACACATGGGGATTGAAAGGGCATGGGCTAGAGGGTACCCTACACTCTCCAAACTTAAATAGCCACACACCACCGAAGGAGATGGACGGACACACGAATTGAAATGTGTGAGCACAAGAGGAGCTACTCAGCAGAAATGGGCGATGAACTGGATCTTGAGTAACAAAAATGGGTAAGTTTCAAAATAATCACACAAGAAGCCAAGGAAGAACGCGTGTCACGTGATTCCGCTTACACAAATTCATTTACGGATGTTGTCCAAGTTTGTCATTGCACTTGATCACATTTATGGAAAATGGAACCAAGCAGGACAGAAAGACGACACAGGGTGAGCAGGGCCAAGAAAGGGGAGGTCTAGGATACGGACAGATATGATCACTGCCTTCATTTCCTGAGGGCAACAGGTGAATCCATGACAAACTCACGGATCTGTTAACTTATTCATTGATTCATAGTGGTCTCAGTCCCTGACAGATTGCTCCATATTCCTGACTCGGCTCAAAAATCTCTGAGTGCTTAAGTTTCTTATACAAAATGGGCTGTACTTAAATATGACTCAGGCATATTCTGTCATATATTTTATTTATTTATGCAAGACAGGGCCTCATGGTGTAACCCAAGCTGACCTCATATTTGTGATCCTCCTGCCTCGGTCTTCCAAGTGCTGGGGTCACAGATTACATCACACACCTGTCTCCTACCAGATGCCATCTGGAGATGGAATGTCTGCTGCAATGTAAGTGTGATATAAACAGTTCTTACACCATACAGTCTAGAGACAAAAGCTTACACCTGCTCAGTGCACACCCATGTATAGTTGGATGTAGAGCCCCCAGGTGTGGAAGACTGACTGCATTCATGTGCGCGTACACGCAAGCACGCGCACGCGCGCACACACACACAAACACACACCATACACATATATGTATGTATGTATAAGCACACAAATCTATGCCAAAATTTATGAAGCTTTTGACTTCAAAGTCACGCAGCTTATCATATGTCAATAACTCAATGAGTGTATTGAGAAGGAGGAGTAGGAAGGTGAAGAATTACTATTGTATTGGGGCCACTACCTTCTTCTGTCTCCTCAGGCTTAAACAATATCGCCTAGTCTATTGATACATATATGAATATATAATTTCATGTGTAAGATTGTTTTGTCTGAATGTATTAGCTGTACATCACATTTGTGTAGTGCCAATAGAGGCCAGAAGAGGGCATTGGATCCCCTAGAACTGAAGTTACGGATGGTTGTGAGCCGACACATGTTTGCTGGGAACTGAACTTGGGTCAGCCGGGGCTCTGGACCACAAGCCCCAGTCTATTATATTTAACCCAGAGCCCTGGTTCTTCCTTTGCCATTTAACTCTGTCAAGGAGAAAAATGGCTGAACTTAAATGATTTCCCCGTGGAAACTTCCAGACTGTGCAGTTTCTCGTGTTGCAGAAACACCCAACCATAGAATCATTTCATTGCTACTTTGCAACTATAATTCTGCTACTGTTGTGTATCACAATGAATATCTGATATTCAGGATATCTGATATTCAACCCCAAGGTTGAGAATTGCTGCCCTAAACACACAGAAATAGGGCAGAGCTCCTGGGGAAGGCTACTTACCTACTGTCATCCAGCCTTCTTTCCCTTCCCCTGAGGAGCCTGGCTTGACTTGAAATCTTTGCAAAGCTGGTTGGGTTTTCCAAGGGCAGTGGGGAGCAAAACAATGGAAACATTGCTGCTTCCATCTCAAAACAAAGGAGAATTCCTGTCCCGAGCTCAGCTGCCTCCACCTGGAGAGAGCCCAAGGAAGCCTTGACCTTGGAGATAGACAGGGTTCTAGTCTCCAAGGTTTGCTGTTAGAGGGGTTGATAAGATGGTTCAGTGGGTAAATGCACTTGTCATGCAAGTCTGGTGACCCAAGTTCAATTCCCAGGACCCAGGTAAAGGTAGAAAGGAAGAACTGACTCCATAAATCTGGCCTCTGACCTTCACACTCAGACTGTGGCATTTGTACACACACATGCATACACAACAATAATGTTTTTAATTAAAAGAGTTTTCATTAGACCTAGAGATAGTACAGTCACAAAAAAGACAGGCTAGGTTCATCCTTCTTCCAGCCTCCCAGCCTCCCAGCCTCCCAGCCTCCCTCCCACCTCCCTCTTTCCTCCGGAATGAAGACAAAACCCGGGACTGTGCCATGCTAAGCACGTCCTGTCCCTGAGACACATCTCCCAACTGATCACACTTTGTTCCTGCCTGTGGCTGAGTTTCCAAACCACTCCTTTCCTCCAGAACAATCCCATAAAACCACTTCACATGCAGATGGAAATTGTCCAGTCCTTAAGCATTTCCAGGAAGATCTCTCAGTTATCCAGAGTAATTCTAGCAGCTTAACTATGCAATCAGAAAGTTTGTAGATCAAAGCTAAATCCCTCCTGAGGGTTTAAAGTGAATTTCTCTCTTAATCTGCCTTCATCAGCTACTTCTCTACCCACTGTACCTGCTGCCAACTTGAAGGTGGCCACTAAGTCACACAGATTCCCTTTGAGTCCCTTCTGCAGCTAGAAGATCAAAGCCTCAAAGCATCCCTGGGAGCCATTCAAATTTCTTAAACTATACAGGTTTCAGTGGGAGGAGAGCCCCATGTGCAGTGAGACCCCAAGTTCTCAATGATTAGCTCAGATACGGCAGGGCTCAAAGTAGACAGTTCTTGCCAAATGACAGAATACACATCCACCCACCCTGCTCTTTCTCTAGGGAGAGAATTAAGGGTGAAGTGACCATCACACTTGAGCTTCTGGGAGATAGCACAGCAGAATGGGGAGAGCCAAGTTGTCCCAGGTTCAAATCCTGCCTCCATCAATGACTTAGGTGACATTTTCACAATACCTTTTTCCCATCTGTAAAATGCAGGAGACAGGGCAAGCAGAGCTGGGGATAAAAATTATCATCAAGAGAGATAACAGATTTGCTATATATGTTGTTGAAATCAAACTGGCTTCCTCCACCTCAGTTGTATTTTAGCAAGCCAAACTAATGAAACACACACACACACACACACACACACACACACACACACACATATAAATATGTATACACATATATAATAATATATCAATTAGTAACTTTTCTGTTGCTGGTATAAAATGGCAATTTACAGAAGGGAGAGTTTATTTTCACTTACAATTTCAGAGGGATAGGAATTCACCATGGTGGGGAGGCAAGGTAGAAAGAGGCAGGGGTGACAGCTGGATCAAGATGCTGAGAGCTCAGGTCCTGAACGGCAAGCATGAGAGAGACAGACAGAGAGAGAGAGAGAAAGAGAGAGAGAGAGAGAGAGAGAGAGAGAGAGAGAGAGAGAGAGAGAGAAGCAGAAGCAGCGAAGGCTTGTTACTTCCTCCAGCAAGGCTGCATTTCCTAAACCTCCCAAACAGTGCCACCAACTGGGGAGCTGGGGAGCAAGTGTTTAAATGTCCACACTATGAGAGGAAGGGTCTCATTGCTCATTTCTCATTTCTCATTCAGTCACATGTATCTGCACGGGCTTTCATTTCTTCCCTCTCATATGAAAGAGAAAGAGGGAAAGAGAGGGAGCACATGAAGAAAAAACATCAAAGTCCATGCATCTAACATGGACTCTCCAGCTGGATGGAGCCTGGTGAAGTGAAATTAAACCCACACCAGACCAGCCCCCAAAAGGGTCAGGTGTGTGCAGCCACCTTTGATAAGACCTTCTTCCCTCTGGCAGCCTGCTGTAGCTTATACAATCCTCCAGTCAGCGTCCTTTCTCCTCAAATTAGGTCCAATTTCCGTGTTCTAGCCTCCAGGGAGACAGGGAACAGCTGTCTTACCTCTATGAAATAATTCTTCCAGGTTCGGACAGCTGTTATTAAACACCCCCCTTCACACTCCCCTGCACTATTATAAGATACATTAAAGGCCCCCGCTAATGGCTTCAGGTCTCACCAAGATGGTTGCTATTCACCCTAATTCCTCTAATAATTAGTGGCTGTAAACCACTTTGAAGATAAAAGGCATTTTATAAGAGCTAAGTCCTATTATGATTAGCTTCCCAATACTTCCCTCCCAACCCTGATGAGCACATCAAAGCCAAGTGCAGTCCCAGTAAGCTATCTGCTGCCTAATTGGATGTGTTTCAAGGCGGCTGGTATATATTAAAGAAACTGCTGCAAAATTTATCAACATTAGAAGAGTGGCTGCTTTCTTCCTAATGTGAACAAGCTCTTTTCAAAGGCTGTCAGCTCAGATGCCTGTGAGACAGGAGCTAATACAGACCCCAGGTTGGTGAGGGAAAGGGACTCTCAGCTCCTGGCTTTGCATAACATCTTGTCAACAGGATTCTACATAGCCTGCCTTTTGATTTTGCAAACACGCTGTGATGAAAACAAGAAAAGGCACAGGGTTTCTGCTTCATAGACGAGAGGGCATGCATAGACCACAGCTTAGCATGGGTTTACGTCAGTGTGGCGCAGCTGATAGGGGGTGAAGATCCCAGACCAATAGTAATGGATATGCCATGATTGATGTTCCACTCAGACACTCTGAAGCATTTGTGCGTCATGGCTGGGCTCCTGGGTGCTCTCGCTTCTCATTGCCTGCACCTGCACTTATTATAAAGCAGACTCAGGATACTGGGGCTATTTGATTCACAAAGGCAGGGCCAAAAATGCCTGAAAGTTTCCTCAACACTTCTAAATGGCTTTTAACTGGTGACCAACCACAATGTGTGGGAGTGAAAGGCCAGGGCCC